TGTTCAGTAGGGGCATGGGCTCTCATCAACTTCTCTCTGTGGGAGCGGATGCATGTTGAGATCTCCTCAAAACTTGAGGACTGCTGCTAGGTTCCTCAGGCATATGAGATGTCTATTGTGACCAGGCTCAGTTACAGATTTTTGACAGGGCTCTCAAATCAGAGTTAATTTATGCTTTCAGAGTTAATTTATGCTTTCAAACAGGAACTATGTGGGTTTCAGTGACTTTGCAGGACTTCCATATTATTGATATTTGGATAGTTTTCTGTTTTCCTGTGCCTGTGGATCCATACAGGCACAAAGTCCACAGATATGAAGCTACAAGAATTGCAGCTTAAGGAATGATTTTCATCAGTCTTTGTGAACAGAGATTTTGGGTTTGGCATACTTCCCTTGCACATCTTCACATGGCACTCAGTCTTTCTTCCTGAAGCTCCTAGGAACATTGTAGTGGAACATTTTTATTTTTTCCCCCCCCCTAATGAAACCACTGAAATGAAGCACTGGTAACAGCTTAGGAGAAACATCCATGCCAGCAGGATGGAGGAATGCCACCTGGTATGTGCAACTGTGTTTACACAGCAAATCAAAGAAGATTAGCTACTATACACAAAGTCCAAGCAGATCTGAACCAGGGGAATTATACTTATTCAAGGGATATAGCACAGCGATCTTTTTATGATCAAAGATTGCTTTGGGGCTTTTCCCACAGATTGAACACTTAGCCTCTTCTTGAGATATAACTGTAAAATTGATTCAAGTGTTCACTGTCTTGAAACCTTTTTAGTTTATCCCAATTTGCATCTTTCCTCTTTTCTCCTAGTATTTATAATATTTATTTTGCCATCCAAAGAATGGTTATGACCTTCTTCTGAAGGCAGAGTATTTGATGTATACTTACAAAATTGAATACTTGAAAAAAATATTTATATTCAAGTCTTGTGATATCTGTTATTCTGGAAACATTTCACAGAGGTTTCACTGAATGCGGGTCACCATCTGCAGTAAGATTCTAGTGCTGATGCTGCTTTATCTCAGAGAGAAAGAGAAACCAAGCAATAAAATGGGATTATCAGTGGAAATGAAAACATTCAAAGGAGTGAAGCATAAGAATAAGCAGTCTCTCACACCCTCAAAAGAGGGTCTTTCAACTGGGGCTTCAGATAAGGAAAAATTTCCACTGGAGGTGCAATTAGGAGAAATAATTGGGTCAGTTGAATGCTGGGTCAGTTGACCTGGACCTCGTTGCCTCTTAGGGCTGATTCTGTACTGAGCTACTGGCTCAGCGGAGCAAAGAGCGTGACTATACGTGGTCTTTGCGGAGCTCTGATTCATCTCTTTCTGAATCTGAGTGCAACAGGCTGAAGCACAGACTATTAATATTGCCAGACCATAGGGGAGCCAAGATCTAGATCCAGATGAGGATCTATACAGCGTGGTTTGGATCCTGCTCGTCCCTTGAGCACTGCAGCACACCATCTCACTTTTGCTTTCCCTTGTTTCTCATATTTGTGAGTCATGCAATTCTGTCGACTCACAGCCTGGTGTCTTCTCTCCTGGTGAAGTCTGAGAACGATGATTAAAGTCTTATGTTCTGTTATTCCACGAGTTGCCATGGAAATGAGCTTGAGGTTGCAGATTTAGTGAAGTATCCTATCTTGTGAAACAAAGGAGGGAAGGAGGAAAGTGATGCTGTGGGCCAGAAGCCTCATGTGAGAGTCTGTTGCCTGAGATCAGCCGAGGTCAGTCTGACTGTCTTGGTACTTGCTATTTTGTCTTGCAGCATGTCAGGAAACCTCATTAGGATCTGTTCTGATTAAGAATTGCTTGTTACTTAAATACAGATTTTAGAGCCTCATTTTCTATGTCCTTTGAAAATAATGACTGTGAAATTTTGGTTGTTTAGTAACTGAAACTCTTTTACTTGCAGAAAAAGGAATAAAATATGCCCCAAACCTAAAATTCAAGAAAATCTGAGAAAAGTACCAATTCTCTCCTTATTAGTACAGGAAGCAGTGGATGTCCAGAGAGGAGTATAAAAACAGAGCATTATTAGAATGATCTTTCATTGTTAAACTGTTGAAATAACCGGTAATCTGCAGTCTAGGGACTTCCCATTACAGAGATTGTATCTTCACCTTTTTGTTTTATGCCAGTGGTCCTTGCTTCCTTCATATTTAGTATGATCCAAAATTATCCAACATTTTGCAGGCTGGAAGAAACACCTCTGCACAAAGTTGTTAGAAAGGGTGGTGCAATCTCTGAACAGCCGGTATTGTTTCCTAGTTGGTGATACTGCCAAGTGTGTAGGAAACGAAATTCTTCCTGTACAAGCATTTCCTATAATTTGTACCTTAATTTCCACTATGCTGAGTAAAATCACTTCCTGTCCTGGGGTGGTCTTTGTTTTCTCTTTGGGTGTATGAAAAGGCTGGAAAATGATATGGATTGATCAGGATTGTCCTTTTCCAGAACTCTGTGCCATGTGACCTGAGGGATTGTGCTGGGAATTTCCCCCCTCATATCTGAGCCCTGTGTATGATTTATAGGAGAAGAATGGAAGTCCTGACGTTTGCAACACAGAAATGTCTATTGCTTATTTCCCAGTAGAACTTTTGAGTTAAAAGATTTAGATGCTTTTCTTTATTAAATGGCGTGTATACTTCAGTGTTTTCAACTCAAAGCCCATCAACATATCTTCATATTTTGTCAAGGGGCCCAGCTGCCAATTCTCAGTGGAAGTGCTGTTAGCAGTGGTGGTAATCCAGCATGGTGGTCTGAGGAAAGGATAGGAGCCAGACGTTTGCATTCAGGCTCCAGTTTTCCCCTGTATTTGGCTACAGTCACTGAAACCAAAGGTTTAAAAAATAAAAACCAAAACAAAACAGTATCTGCTTTGTGATAAATAAGCTGGTCGCTCCAAAATCAGATCCCTCCCTCTTTTGAAATTGTTTCCTACCTTTGTGTCTCTGTTTCTTGATCTGTCAAGTCTCAGTGGTGCTGTATTTTTTAAAACAAACTTGGCTTTTTGATAGATGGTTTCAGTGCAGTGGTTAAATATGAGAACATAAATGTGTGGATGGCAGATTAGGTTGTTAATTTTGGTCTGTAATTGCAAACTGAGAGTAGAGAAGGAAAAGTTGTACAAAACCAGATTATGTATTTGAGACTTGAATCGCTGCCATTAAATCTCCATCTCTCTCTCTGTTATGAAAACATGACCCCAGACCTCATATTATCTGCTCTGGCTTCCAGCTCATCCCCACTGGCACCACAGTGGCATTTGGCAGTTCCTGAGGTGGGAGAGGGAGCTGAACGTGTGCTGCGTGGTGTCCTGCAGCTCTGCCCCAACACAAAACACACTTCCCACCTCCAAGATGCTTTTTCATGTCTTCCCCTTCTGAGCTTTCTCTCTTTCCCAGCCTTCACAGGATGGTGCTCCCTTTTCTATCAGAATAGTTTATGTTCTGATTGCTAATTTTAACCTGGTTATTGTTTGTGAAACCAATAATTAGAAAAAGTCAGTTATTGGTTAACAGCTTTAGCGGTAAATCAGTTCCAACAGCTCTTTGCTGCTGCTAGCATGAATCCACGTGCTTCTCAGCTAGAAGCTCTCGTCTCTCTCTCCTCCTCTCTCCCTGAGATCCTTTGCTGGATCCATATGGTGTTGAGGATGTAAGCACTTCAGAGGAGTGTTTCAATATACAGTTATGATTCTAATTTTTGGCGTCAGCTTTTTATTACAAGTTGTTGCCTGGCTGGAGGCGTGAGAGAGTGGGAGCAGAGAGGGCTCTCTACCATGTGTGAAGCAGGGAGACGGCAGGCAGCAGTAGCAGAAACAATACAATTGCATTTCTCTGGAGCATGAAAATGGGGCCTGGAGCAATCCCTTGGCCCATGCTCTCTTCGAGAGATCCTACCTATCCCCTGATTGATATGTTGGTAGCTCTGGGGTTTTTCGTGTAGGTCATGACAGTTCCACTTGGAGGAAGGGTTAGAATTTCAACCACAATAAATGTTGCAGCTCAAGTGAGTAGCATGCAAAGTGTTTTGGTCTGGCATGAAGTATAAAATCCAAACCTCTGTTTTAACATAAAGTCTAGCCTAGGTACCAGTGATCATTACGTACCCTGTCTTCAGTTTGGTTTTCTTGTAGGTCTAAAAATGTAATGAAAATGTAAGCAGATGTGTTTTTTATGAACAAATAGAGAATAAATATCCTGATAGGCAGTTTTTTTTTCTGTTTTATGTTAGGCAGAAGTTAATACTCACACATAAAAACAGTAAATGCCAACAAATTTTCAAACAAAACCCTAGTAATAACTGTAGGAAATTGTGAGAAACTATCAGAGACATAGAGTAAAATTTTCTGACTAGCAGTTACAAAATGGAGAGATGCAAAAATAAAACTGAACTCAAAAAAAAAAAAAAGATGTCAAGGACAGGTATGCTCAGGTTTAGGCTCTGATCTGAGGTGTCTTCTGTAGCAGCCTCAGATACTATCAGACATTGTTGCCATATATGCACAGCCCCACACGCAACTCTCCCTAACAAAGTGCTGAAGCATCATGGTTGGTAGGAAAAACAGAATAATGGTGATTTCCTGGGACACAGAGGGAGAAAAAGCATCAGACTAACTTAGCACGGAGGCAGGTCTGATCCAGCTGCAGTTACTAATTTCTAGTCCAGCATCGTCCCTGCTAACCATAACCTGGCCACTTTTGAGATTGAACAGGTCCCTGAGTACCACATTTTTCCATTCTCTAAGTTCTGCTGGGCTTCTAAAAGGAATTACAAGACCTAGGGCAGTCCTGTTGGTGGGCTGAGGGAAAGGGCACAGGCGTGCCCTGGGGAGGTGGCTCAAGGCTGGATTTCCTGGGCTTTAGCATGCTGAAGCAGCTGGATGGAGGCTCCTGAGGGGCAATAGTGGAGGTTGGAAGTTCCCAGTGAAGTGGCAGTGCCAGCTGTGTGTGGGTTGGGTGTCTTATTCTGAGGTGCTTACATCTCCACACAAGCTACACAGGGAAAAGAGGTGCCTAAATGAGAGCTAGAGATTCCACTTGGGGGTCAGGAGTGAGGTAGACTGCGTGTTCTCATGTATTGTGCTTGCCTGTAAGAGAAGGCTTTGTGGTTTGTTAAATTTTGGATGAGTTTTGGACCTTCCTGAAAGTAGTCAGGGAACAAATGAGTGTACAGAGTCCTTCTGAAGGAGAAAAAGATGGAAGTATTCCATGGAGATGTATTAAAGTAAATCCAGAAGTGAACTGATGACTTTACAACCCTCAAGCAAAGTATTCCAGATCGTTTGTCTTGTGCAACGGGATCATGCATGAAATATGAAGATGTGTACATGACCTTCTTTTAAACTGCTGTGATTTACTGCTGCCAGAACGATGAGAGAACGAAGATGAGTATATGAAGAAATCAATGTTATGTGGGATTGCAAAATGATGCTAGGTCTGATGAATCCTCCTTGAAATCCTCTAGCCACAAGAAGTCTATTGCTTTGCTCAGATGTTTCAGGGTGGATATCTGATTTGGAAAGGCTTTAGCTCTCTAAATGATTTTCAGGAAAGTGGTGTTTGCCGTTTTTTAGTATGTGTTTATCTTTTATGCAATCTTCTGAATGGACATAGTGTTTTTGTTGTTGTTGTTGTTTTAATATTTCTGAAAACAGGAATGTTTTAATTTCCCAAAGCAGCATAAAAATAGTAAAATTTACATTTTTCAGGTTATTCAGCAACCTTTATTTGCCTTGCATGGCTAAATGTTATTTTGTTTAAAAACTACTCTACTTTAATTAATACTTTTCATTCATATTTATAATTTGACATGTTTCTCCTATTTTCCTTAGCCTTCTCAACACCTTTGTTCTGCGGCTTCTGTCTTCAGATGATAGTTCTGAAGCAGGCAAAGAAATAATGGAGGGAACCAAAAATTTTGGCTTTGTTTCTTCAGAAGATGCCATTAATCTACTGAAGTAAAGAAAAAAAAACCAAACACATATATTTTGAGCTGAAAAAAAGGTGGTGGGGGGGGGACATATATAGCCTTAAAATTATAATACAGTTGTGTTCAAGACAGGACCGTAACATGACTTCTGGTTTTCATTACCTGTCAATGTTTCCTGCAGTGCAGGAATAAATGTATCTGATATTTACAACTTTTTTTTTTTTTTCTCCTTTTCTCTATGTGCTTTTGTGAACAACTAGTGCAACAAGTGGCATGCCTGAAACCTCGAGATGCCTCAAGCAGACATTGTTTTCCAAACATACTGAGTTCTCAGCATCAGGTCTGTTGAGTGAGTCAAGCCAGGGGTCCAAAATCACAGGTTGCTTTTGAAAATCTTTAATGGGCTTTGACCTAACCAGTTTTGGCCTGTTCAAGAACTAGCATATAAAGTTCAGTGCAGCAGTCTATGGAAACCCCGTGCCAGCCCCAACTTGTTGCAGCTTCCTTCTGCCAGGGACCCCTGAAATGTGGCAAGGCTTTACTAGACCAGGGTGTTTCGTTGTCTTCTTCTCAGTTCTGCTACATCTCTAGTAGCAAATTTCTCTATTGCTACAGAGTCCTCTGCTGTAGGGCTGTGAGAGCAGGAGAATGCTTCTTCATGGCCCAAATAGTTTCTGCTTATGATAATGTTCCTGCCAGAGACGCTGGCTGAAAGCCCTTGCACATGAAACTGTCTTTAGTATCATGCTTCCCTTCTTACCAGAAGGGGAGGGGGATGACATTTATTTCCCTGAAGTTTGCGGCTATAGGACTTAGACTGGTCAGACTTTCCCTTGCTTCTGCTTAAAAGTAGCCAACACTTGGTAGGACAGGGCTGTGTCCTCAGGGGAATGATGCAGAGCATGTTAATTGCATAAGCATCACAGCTTGTGGTAAGTTTGGCTGTACATGGCCTGATTCACCATTACTTTGTGGTTATGTATAACACAGAGATTTCTTTTACTCAAATGTATTTATTTATTTATTTATTTATTTGTTTGTTTATTAGAAAAACTGTGCTCAGACAAGATCAATCATTTTAATCAATTTCCAGTGTTTTGATGAAAAATCACATCTTGTAATATTTATTACTATTGGCATATGTTATTGCTATTGCTGTAATTTTCAGTCAGACATGTAAGTTTGTTTTAATTTTCATAAGTAATTTTTTGCATTGTGCCTGTATTTAATAGTGACTTTTTTTCTTTGGATCTAATTTGACAGAGAACTTCAATAGGGACGAGATCAGCTTTAAGGGGCTTTGTTCAGGTGTCAGGATTTCGGGACTTGCCTTTCAGTAGATGAGTCACTTGAAATGTAACACTTTGTGGGAGCAGAGGGAAAGGAAACATTCTGTTTGTGTCACTTCAGGGCATTCTAACCATCAAATGTCATGGTTGCACAGCTCAGTTTTGCTCATCTGTTTCTAACAGTGTTCCTATTACCACGCCACAAAAACTGTGGATCTCCAGAACAGCACACTTGGGGCTGAGGAGCTGATGTCCACACCGAATGCATCTCAGGTGGTTTACCTTGGACTCTTTCTAGGTGGCTGGAGTGCAGTAGGTGTGCTGCTGGAGTGGAGCTTCCCATTTAGTTCTGTCACCCAGTCTGTGAGCCTCAAGGCTGTTTGAAGTGCAAACCAAAGCATGGTAAGTGGGATGATGAAGACATTTTCTTCAAAAGCTTGTTCCTAATTTGAAACAGAAAGCTAGTGTGGTCATACTTCCTTTATTTCTTATGCTCAATGATTCCTGACACGTTATCCTCTACGTCAATATCCCTCACGTGGTTAAATCTTCAGAAATATAGCTGTGCTGTCATGCAAACTTAAGAATTATTTGTTTTTCCACTTTGAACAAACAAACAAAAATTAGTATCAGAAAAAGTCCTGTGCAACGTGCATCAAAATATGTGGGAATGGTTGTACTTCCTGTGCGTCAGATCATTGATAAGTCATCTGGAGCAAGCATTTTGTGTGCAATTTTCATCTTTCAAAATGCAGAGTAATTTTCACATATTCAACGGCCTTCAGCAGTAAGTTTTTCAAAGCCCTATGCTATCTACAGTTTCAGTTATGATTTTTACCTGACCTGGATTCTCTTCTCCTTACATTTCATTATCACTTTTACATAAACTCTACTTCCACCATATTTTGTTTTATCACCTACCTTCTGAGCCAAAACCACAAGTGATAATGATGTGATATATCTACCAACCCCAGCACAACTTAAATTTGGAAGCAAGAGGTGTCCTGTTATATTCAGGATTGTCTTCATCCATTAATCAACTGTGTAAGTAGACCTACAAATTCAAAAGAATGTTATGCTATGTTAGCCATGGTTTTCTATGTCTGTATGTTCAAAAGAAAGGTCTAGCATCTCTGGATGTTTCTGGTATATAAAATATATACAACAAACAACCATTAACGAATTTTAAAATTGTAATGCTTATTCAGTCCACTCAGTGCTCTTGAATGTGAGCCAACATTAATTCAAACCCAGTTGATCCTAATAAGTAACTAAGACCCCATTTCATAAACATGCAATTCTAGCTTGTTATTTCTGGCAATGCCATTAAGTAAAATTCTCTACTCTCAGAGCGACAGAATTAAGGGATTAGGGATAAACTGAAAATTGTGAATAATTCACGATTTCTTCCTTCTCCTTCTCCCCACTGAAGGCAACTTTAGAGGGGGTTAATAACTTCTCTCAGTCACACACCTTTTCTTTTGTGAGTCATGTACAAGAGTGTGACTGGCCAGGGCTAAGGATTTGCTCGTATGAGTGGAGTCTGTAGGATCAGAGGTTTTCTTCAAAGAATACTTTCTATTATAGTCAGAGGTTTGCTAGGACAAGGCACCACCAGCTGCATTAAAAACTATTACTTACACCTGGTAATCCTGAACAAGACATGCATCCCTAAAGTGTGTTGTCCCATTGCATTGTTATTTTCAAAAGAAACCTATGACATTTCAAAAGAATCTGACTTTGTTGTTGTTGTTGTTTGTTTCTAAAGTGCAGTCAGTGTCATTTCTTCTTGTGGTACTTTAGATAATCTGGAATGTATGTTATCCTTGTTCCTTAAACATATTTTCTCTTCTACTTCTGGGATTTTGCAGAAGGATATTTAAGGATGATCTTGTGGAAAACTTTGCAGCAAATTTCCAGTAGATAAGTTATATATCTGAAGTCATCCTGCTCAGCCGCTGAGCCTTCTTGCTAATGCTGCAGTGCTCATATGATGCTGTTGTACTGTTGCAGAGCTGTAACAAAATTAAAAAGAGAGGTCTAGTAAAATGAAAAGTCAGGATACTAATGGTCACACAGGCTTTCTGCCTTCTTTATTCAGTGTTGGTGATTAGCTGTGCTGTTCAGGAGCACTCAGTAATTTTTCTCAAAGGATTGCTGATGTAGTTATTGTTCTGGGCTTTCTTTTTTTCTTCATGTGCAATTATTATTTTTATCAGAGCATGTGGGGAGAGTGCTGTGCTTGCAGCTGTGTGAAGAATACCTTCAGAAAAGGCCAACTCAGTTTATAAGAGAAATCAGGTGTATTGCTGTTAAGTTTTGGGTCAGTAGCAGGGCACCAAGTGGCTTGGCTTTCTTCAAAAACAGACTAAGGCTTTTGATTTCTGAACAGAACAGGGGAATGCATGCAACCCACAGAGACTGGAGTCTCTCCAGGACTATCTAACATAATGAGAGAATTCTTTGTGAAATACATAAAATGATGACATTTTAGTGGTGAGTGAAATATTTGATTACTTTTTCCATAACTTAAAATAATTGCAATGTTCTTTTGCAATCCCATTCCCGGTGAGGACTTGGAATGTGTAACCTCACCATATATCTACCTTGGAGACATCTCTAGGGCAGCCTGTGGTGATATGGAAAAATGGGTTGAAAAGTTTTTTTTTTTTTTTTTTTTTTTTTTTTTACCCCAACGAAAAGCTACATGCACATTCATCTTGGAAGACATCCAGAAGATGAATTCAGACTTGCAACTGCAAGTTTGAGGTGAGGAAAACTGGTCAGGGGAAAGTTTGTTGAGTACTGTGGTGGCCAAGTGAGATGAGGGGAGTGCCAGCATCCTGTGGTCATTTGCAGAAGGGGAGAAGCAGCACACAGTGGGCGGCAGGCGCAGTCTGGCTGTGCCAGCTCACCACCCCTGTCTCCTGGCTTGCTTGTTCCTGTGCACTTACAGGGTTGATGCTAAAGTTCTTTAACTACGAAGGGTGGACAGACAGGAAGGGATAACATTTGTGCTCCCCCCTGTGCTGAGGGCTGAAATGGTTGCAAGATATCTGCATCCATCTTAGTTCTGACAATTATTAATGTGATTGTCATTGTAATGTATCAGTGTGTGAGGAATAAGTGAATAATAAGTAAGGGATTTTAGCACTTTTGCGCACAGAAGAAGGTGTGATGTCTCTGGTTAGCATGGGTTGTGGCTTAGCACGATCTTTCACAGCAAAAGTTATTTGTTAAATTTAAAGGCAGAATGTACACCTAGCTTTCAGCAGCAGTTAAAGAACAATTAAACTCTATTAAATTGGTCTCAACACTCAGGACATACATGCCCCTGCAGCAGCAGAAATTCTCCTAAGCACTGTGTTATGACTTCTTATTCCTTGTATGGAGACACTGAGTGGCTCTGTCACAGATCAGCATAGTCCTCATGCACGCAATAGGCAGCAACAGCAGAAAAGGTTGGTGTCTGCCCCGTGGAAATGGCAACTGGACATTCAGGAGGAATCTCATGGGTACAAGGACCATTGCCACTGAGAGCTGCAGTGGCATATAAAACAGGAATAGAAAGGAATTGGTTGATATGGCTGAACAGAAGAGTTAAAGGTAGACCCAATTTTTCTGCTCCCCACCAACACCATATCCCTGCTAGCAGTGTGCTGTGCACACCTGGTCACTGAGGACAGAGGATCTATTGCTCAGCACGGGTGTTTATCACACTGTTCATGGATAGTTCTTTCATATTATAGATTGTATAAACAACAGAAGACACTTTCTCAAAGAGTAGTTTGCATCTGGACAGTAATGACACAGCATTTCATGGGGATACAATGCTCTGAATGGCTGTTTCTAATGTAAAAACATTAAAGCATTTAAACCTGGACTGGTTTCATTGATGAGTTAGACCATGAATAGTAGTTGCCAGTGTGGTGCAAAGGAGCTAGTGTTAAGAGGTAGAAGGTCTGGGAAGGGATAGTAGCAGTTGTATATTGACAGAAGATGAGCTAGGCTACCTCATCCATCTTTGCCAAATTAATTATTTGCTTTAATATTTATAAAAGTGAATAGGAAACAGATGGTAGGAATGGAGATGCCTGTCAGGTTTTTCATAATGGAGAAAGGAGAAGGATTGAGAGGAAATCAGAATCCCACCAGAAGAGGGGAACAGGAAATTAAAATGTCAGACAACTGACAAAACTGCTAGACCACACACAAATATAAAGAGGTTTCTCATAGGATCTCAAGAGCATTTTAAATTTAAGTCTTCTCTCTTTTGCCACCCAGAAATCAGAATAAAGATTAAAAAAAAAAAAAGAAAAGATCAAAACACGCACCCTCAATGCTGTCCTTTAGAACATGGTATTTTGAAAAATTCTTCAGGAACACATCTGTGCAGTTTAGAAAGGTGCTACTATTACATCTAGTGAGAAGACTCAGAGCAGAGGAGATGGTGAGTCTCTGGTTCGTGGTTTGAGTTTGGCGGTATATTCATCCTTGTTCAGGATGAACAAGCATCAGAATTCAGTCTGCGTTCTGCAAAGTCCCATGCTGTGGTAGGAAAAGGTTTTGCAGACTAGAATTGACAGATCTGTGTTATGTTTGCAGCCATTCTGAGCACCAGTTGCTTGTGGTCTGCTGTTACGTTTGACTGTGCTCAAGCTAATTTCACCTTAGGCACAGGAAGTGAGAGTAGGGGGCAAAGGAGTACTGCTGGGCAGGGATAGCTTCAGAGGAAATGCTACACCTAGGACATCAGATGGTAGAAGCAGGAGAATAAGGGAGTAAAAGGATAGGGAGCTTTCATGATGAACAGATTTGGTGGAAGTGTGCCAGGTACGTTAACTGACGGGCAGCGATCCCAAATCCGCGTGGGAGCCTGAGAGTCCCCCTTCAGCATGCAGCAACACATTCTCCATGCGTGCCAGTAGGAGACAGCCTAAAAAGCTGAGCTGCTTTCTGTGGAAATCTTTTTTTTGCTGCACCGTTATCTGAACTGAATGGGTTAGGAAGGAGGTTGCGAGTCCAGACAGGGCTACGAGTTTCTTGCCCTCTCAGTATTGCTTCTGGTTTTAAGCATCCTTGGGAGCACGGGGAGGTATGTGCTTTGCCCAACACCCTTCCCAGCTGGGGAGGGTTTGCTGCCACTCTAGTCCTCTCTGCTCTTTAGTTGCCCATTGCTCATGTCTCTTCATATTCAACAATCATCACGGAATAAGGGCTGTCTGCTGACCTTTCCTTCAACAGTAAATGCTGAGCCAAGTGGGCTGTTCTGCTGAGATATGGATGTTTTTCTTTCATTCTGTCTGTCTTGTGGTAGGGTTTTGTATGTCTCCCTTTGACTTTGGCCAAGTGCCTCACAAGCTATGGACTCTGAATGTCTGCCTTATTTGGAGAAAAAACAT